TTTCTAATAACACTTTCTGTGAGATCTCTCCCAATATTTATATCCTTTTGTTCTGCCTGAATCAGAGAAAAACAACTGTCCTCAAGGCTTGAGTTTCACAGCCTCTGAAAGCTCAGAAGTTGAGGATCAAAGGATTTGGTCACCTCCGACCCAGTGCAGTCCACGGCCCGAAGAGGCCAGAGCTTGAAAAACCAAAATTTCCACTCCTTCCAACAGTTCCTGCCATTACAAAGTAGTATACGCTCAATGGCCTAGAAAGACCTAGTTCGTCATAAATAAGGAATATGTATTTTTGTTCATATAAAAGAGAGAATACAAATTCATTGGTACCCTCCTTAAAACTCAAATATTATTATTATTTTTGAGGGCAAAGCCTTCTAAAAGAAATGACAAATTCTCTCTATTCATTACTTGCTTTCCTTTCATCAGTCAGTCTCAGAACATCCATCCTTTTCTCTTTTTACATTCATTCGGTAAAAGCTTCTGTTACACAATTTATGCTTATAATCAATTTTTTAGTACAAGGTTCCACATCAATTTCGCAATATCTCCCTGTTAATTAAAGATAGAAGTAAAACACATCAGAAGTGGCACTTCAAAATGCAATCCAGTTTTTGTCTTCTGCATTATGTCAGCATTTGGATGATTATTCTATACAGTGGGAACCAGGACAAAACTGAATGAGCTCCTTATGCCTTCTTAACTTATCAGGACCTCTGAATAAAGTTTTTTCCACGTTCCATGCATTTCCATGGTTTCTCCCCAGTGTGAGTCCTTTGATGTAACGTAAGGGCACCACTGCGACTAAAGCTCATTCCACATTCCATGCATTTATAAGGTTCCTCCCCAGTGTGAGGCCTTTGATGTGACCTAAGGGTACCACTGTGACTAAAGCTCTTTCCACATTCGATGCATTTATATGGTTTCTCCCCAGTGTGAGTCCTTTGATGCAACCTAAGGTTACCACTTTGACTAAAGCTCTTTCCACATTCCATGCATTTATGCGGTTTCTCCCCAGTGTGAGTTCTTTGATGTAATCTAAGGGAAGCACTGCGACTAAAGCTCGTTCCACATTCCATGCATTTATGTGGTTTCTCCCCAGTGTGAGTTTTTTGATGTAATGTAAGGTTACCACGGCGACTAAAGCTCCTTCCACATTCCATGCATTTATGCGGTTTTTCCCCAGTGTGAGTTCTTTGATGTAACCTAAGGTTACCACTGTGACTAAAGCTCTTTCCACATTCCATGCAGTTATGTGGTTTCTCCCCAGTGTGAGTTCTTTGATGTAACCTAAGGTTACCACTGTGACTAAAGCTCTTTCCACATTCCATGCAGTTATGTGGTTTCTCCCCAGTGTGAGTTCTTTGATGTAACCTAAGTGTACCACTTCTACTAAAGCCCTTTCCACATTCCATGCATTTATGTGGATTCTCCCCAGTGTGAGTTCTTTCATGTGACCTAAGGTGACTTCTCAGATGAAAGCTTTTTCCACATTCCATGCATTTATGTGGATTCTCCCCAGTGTGAGTTCTTTCATGTGACTTAAGGTTACCAATCTGAATAAAGCTCTTTCCACATTCCAGGCATTTATGTGGTTTCTCCCCAGTGTGAGTCCTTTGATGTTTCCTAAGGTCACTACTGTGACTAAAGCTCTTTCCACATTCCATGCATTTATGTGGTTTCTCCCCAGTGTGAGTCCTTTGATATTTCCTAAGGTCACTACTGTGACTAAAGCTCTTTCCACATTCCATGCATTTATGTGGTTTCTCCCCAGTGTGAGTCCTTTGATATTTCCTAAGGTCACTACTGTGACTAAAGCTCTTTCCACATTCCATGCATTTATGTGGTTTCTCCCCAGTGTGAGTCCTTTGATATTTCCTAAGGTCACTACTGTGACTAAAGCTCTTTCCACATTCCATGCATTTATGTGGTTTCTCCCCAGTGTGAGTCCTTTGATATTTCCTAAGGTCACTACTGTGACTAAAGCTCTTTCCACATTCCATGCATTTATGTGGTTTCTCCCCAGTGTGAGTCCTTTGATATTTCCTAAGGTCACTACTGTGACTAAAGCTCTTTCCACATTCCATGCATTTATGTGGTTTCTCCCCAGTGTGAGTCCTTTGATGTAACCTAAGGCTACCACTGTGACTAAAGCTCTTTCCATATTCCATGCATTTATGCGGTTCCTCCCCTGCATGAGTTATTTCATGTCTACTGAGGTGACATGTTTTTATATGCTTCCTTCCTTGCGTTACTTCTTTCATTTGATGTCCATTCCTACCCACCTGCATTTTCAATTCTCTGTTTTCTTGCTTGAATATGAGTTTCTTCCCAGGATGCCCCAAGTGTTGCTGGGAAATTCATCTTCTCCTGGTCATCATCTGATAGATTAGAAAAAGACATGAAGCAACCATGTCAGAAATCTGCAGGAATAAGGAAAGACCCATTCGGGCTCTGCCTGAGTCACGGAGGAGGAAGCAAAGACCGTCCATGTGCTTGCAATCTCGGGATTGTACTAATGTAATACACTCTACATGGGGCTGCCTTTCACATTGATGTGGAAGCTTCAAATGATAAAGAATGTGGCGGCCAGACTTCTCACTGGGGTGAGAAAACATCAGCATATTTTCCCCACTCTGGCTGCCTTGCATTGGCTGCCTGTTTGTTTCCACATTTATTTCAAAGTGTAAATAAAAGCCCTAAATGATTTAGATCTACTTGAATCCCTCATTCTAACTAGGAAGGGTGGCTGAGGGGCCTTCTCAGCAGTGGCCCCTTTCCTCTGGAACAGTCTGCCCCCAGAGATCTGTCTGGCTCCCTTGCTGGGTGCTTTTAAGAGTAAACATAAGACCTGGCTCTTTAGGCAGGCTTTCCCTCCTGTCATCACCTAATTATTTTTTCCCCATCTTCAACTATATTATTACTGTTATTTTTTAATTTATTATGACGTTTTTTTAATCTATTATTGTTAGCTGCCCAGAGTAGACATCAGTATAGATGGGTGGAGTATAAATTTAATAAATATATAAATATTTGGTAGACTAAATTTGCAACCCTCCTATAATCATTGGGGTAGAACCCTATTCTGAGAAGTCTAAATTGATGTAATTCCATTCTCACACTTAGCGATTATACAAGGCGGCCATGACTCAAAAAAAGGTTGGGAAAACTTCACCATTATCAGCAGTAATTATAATCAGTGGGAAAGGACAAAATGAACTGGAATAAACCTGAGATGACCTTCTTTAATTAGAATAAGGAGGAAAAATACTATTGCTATATATACGACAATAAAGAAGATAAAAGTTACTAAAAATTAAAAGATTATAAAAAGTTAAATTTTGAGAAAGTGAAATTAGAAATTAAAAATACAGTGGTGCCCCGCATAGCGACGTTAATCCGTTCTGGATTAACCGTCGCTATGTGAAATAGTCACTAAACAGATCGAAAAACCCCATAGAAATACATTAAACTTTAATGCGTTCCTATGGGTCCTTAAACTCACCGTTCAGTGAGCATCCTCCATAGCGCCGCCATTTTTGCGCCCTCAGTAAGTGAGGGCAGGGCGCGAAAATGGTTGCTGCGGCCATTTTGGGCGTGCGGTGGCCATTTTGGAACCGCCGATCAGCTGCTGTAGAAACATCGCAATGCGAAGATCGGTAAGCAAAACGCTTACCGATCATCGCAATGCGATGTTTAGCCTTTCTAAAAATGCGACGTCGCTATGCAGATTCGTTGTTAAACGGTGCGCTCGTTAAGCGGGGCACCACTGTAAATTAAATCATTATAGGAAGATCAGCTATGAATGTAACGATGATCAATTTTTTTAATTCTCTTTTTAACCTCATTCTTTTATTCTCCCCAATGATTGTACTCAGGTTTCTAGAAAATTAGAAGGGAATTTCTCAAAGTTGATTTAAGAGGAAACAAATATTTGAATTAAAGGATTGGTTACCATAAATGAATTTGGGGGGGGGGGGGGAGG